TGGCCCGAGAGGGCCCCTGGCACCCTTCGATCTTGGGAGCCTTGGCGTGGCGAGCTTGTTGCGTCGCCGCTCGCTCTTGGGAGCCCTGGTGTTCAGAGACTGTTACGTTGCCGTTCGCTCTTGGGAGCCCTGGTGTTGAGAGTTATTTTCGTCGCCACTCGCTCTTGGGAGCCTTGTGGTCAAGAGCTTGTTGCGTCACCGCTCGCTGATGGGAGCCACGGTGTTCGTGAGTGTCTCTTGGGCCTCGTCGGGGTCGTCTTGGGGCCCTATTGGAGCCATTTGGGGACCCTTTGGGGGGCAATGTTGGAAGCAATTGTGGGCCGTCTTGGGGTCCTTGTGGGCCGTCTTGGGGCGTCTTCGAGGCCTTTGTCCGTGGTCGGGCTCTCTTGTGGGCCTTTTGGGGCTTTCTTGGGAGCCTCTTTGGGCCTCTTTTTTTTACTGCGGCAGACCCTCCATGGAACATGTGGCGGGCCCTCCATAGAGGACATCAGACAACATCCTGGGGAATCGAATTGACCCCAGCGTCAAAACAACACTGCCAACGCGTCCTCCTGTTTGGATGGCAGCGTGACTTGGCACGAGCTGCCACAGCCTGAACATACACACACAAGTTGCGTCCTGTGCACTTGCGATGCATCAAAACAATCATGCACATAATTAAACGCACATGCGGAATCATGTGCGCCTGGCAGACCAGGGAATGCGATCAAACCCGAAGGACAAATAGCGCCACCAGTGCGTGCAGGGCATGCGAAAGCCTTTGCTGTCAACGCCTATCAACAATGATTCAATATGTCTGCTTTGAAGCAGCAGGGAACGGACGACGCGCAGGCCAGGGGCCTCTTGGACCGTCATGGGGGCCTCTTGGATCGTCTTGGGGTTGTCTCTCCCATAAAGGAAATATATAATATATACACCGTGGCGTCGTCACCATGCCTCTGGCGCGCTGCCCGGATGCGCGGGGGCACGCTGGGGAGAACATGCAGATTCCTTCTGGGTCTGGAGAAGATGGAGGGTGGCGACCACGTCATCACGCGGCGCACCAAGCATCTCGCTGGGCGCGCAAGGCGTGAGAGAAAGATAACAAGCTGGAGCGGATGCGGACCATGGGGAGACAAGAGAAGGGCGAAGGATAAGGTGGGAGGAACGGACGAAGAAGACACAATCGAAATTCCACTTCGTCCAGCCGGGCAGCCCGCTCAGCCATCGGCTCGCCGCACCGACGGCGGAATCGTAGAGTTGTGTGTTCGGCATTCTCGCTCTCGGCGGCAGTCGCGAAACAAAGCGCAACGGACATCTACAAACCATCGAAGCAGCTTGCTGGCAATGGCTCTCCGATGCGTTTCGCTGATAACGAGGGGGGGAGGACGGGGGAGAGGATGGGGAGGGGGAGGACGGGGGGGGGAGAGGGAGGAAGAGGAGGATACGTAAGGAGGACGGAAGAGCTTCCGCGGCTCTGAAGACCACGACGCACATATCGTGGATGTCACAAGCAACGAACCTAGAATGTCGAATGTCGTCGTCGATCGAATTCGACATGAACGTCTTAGGGCCAACTGAGGTCAAAATTCGCGCCCGCATCACACGCGATGGAGCGGGAAAACGACTTGTCCGTACTCGTTCCTCCTCTCGTCGAAGATCTCCTCCCACAGGTTGCCAAAGCGGTCTGGGCCCCCCACAATGAGGACCTGCATCTCGTTTGGGCCCAAGCGCCTCATCTCCCTCAACCTCCCTACATGGCCGCGCATCTCGCCGTAGCCAATACGGTAGGAGGCGCCCACCTGCAAAGGCATCCCGCCCCGGCAGTGCATGACCCCGTGCACCGTCGCCGCGTGGTGCTGATGGGCGCTAGGGTTGAACGAGTCTTGATCCATGTACTCGTCCCGGTAGATTGAGGAGTCGGACCTTGGCAGTTGGCCGAATCGGTAACCCCCGCCCCCGCCGCCGCCAGAGCTGCCCCGACCCCCCATGCCGGCTCCATACCCACGACCAGGCATGCAGCCTCCAGGCATGCCGCCTCCGCCATACCCACCCCCGCGGGGACCGCCCCGACCCCCCATGCCGGCTCCATACCCACGACCAGGCATGCCGCCTCCAGGCATGCCGCCTCCGACATACCCACCCCCGCGGGGACCGCCCCGACCCCCCATGCCGGCTCCATACCCACGACCAGGCATGCCGCCTCCAGGCATGCCGCCTCCGCCATACCCACCCCCGCGGGGATCGCCCATGCCACTCCTGCCCATTCCACCACCGCCGCCGCCACCATGGCCACCACCACCTCCACGCAGACCGCAGCCCTGACGTGCGAGCATCTCCATTTGGTCGATGTCGTCCAAGATACCTTCCTCCATACTGCGGACGTGATACTCGAACTCATCGTAGTTTTCCCTGGCCATCTGCCAGCACTCCGAGAGCGTGCTCTTGATGCCGTTGTGCAATTCAAGCGCTTGTCCCCTAAGCATGGGATCGCGGATATTGACCACGTCCCTGGCCGCCTTGTGCCACTTTAGCTGGATGCCCCGGTACTCCCGCTGGAAGCCTTGCGAGCAACGATCCAGATGAAATGAGTGATCCGCACCCATCCCTGCACAAAGGCCCAACGAAGAAGCAAGCGGCTTTGGCTGTTGGAGAGTTTCGCGTTTGATGTATTGCGCCCTGCTTGATCCAAAATGGATCGTACTTGAGCCAAAATGGCTACGGAAAGCCTCTTTGGGCCTTCTTGGGGCTCTCTCTTGGGGCCGTCTGGGGGTCCCCTTGGGCCGTTTGGGGCCCTTCTGGGCCGTTTTGGGTCCCTCTGGGGCCGTCTGGGGGCCCTCGGGGACCTTTTTCGGGCCGTTTGGGAAGCCTCTGGGTCGTCTTGGGACGAACTTTGGGACCTCATGGGCCGTGTCCGGACCGTCTGGGCCCGAAAAGGCGAGAACCCGAAAAACCTTCAAACACCCAGGGGAAATCAATGTTTGTAGGCTCCTGAGGCCCTCTCGAGGGCCCTCTGGAGTGTCTCTGGAGCCGTCTCGAGGCTCTCTTGGACCGTCTGCAGGCCATCCGAAGCTCTCTTGGGGCCGTCTTTGGGTCGTTTTTGTGCCCTCTTGGGCCGTCTTGGGGCCCTTGAGCCGCTTCAGTCGACAAATTAAGAGGAAACGGGCCGTGGAAAGCGCCCGCGAGCCGCTTCACTGGGAAAACTACCAGGGAAACGGCCCCTCGGCGGTCATTAACACTCATGCGCCCGGCCCTCGCCCCTCCCCTGGAACCCCTCCCGAGATTGCTCATGGCACCCTTCGCTCTTGGGAGCCTCGGTGCTAAGAGCTTGTTGCGTCACAGGTCTCTGTTGGGAGACCTGGTGTTCACAGAGTTTTACGCTGCCGCTCGCTTTACGCCCGGGAATCGCTTAACTCGAGCAAATACGAGGTATGCGGCCACCAGGCGGCCATTAAATCTAATCCTTCCCCCCCTCGCCCCTCCCCGACACCCCTCCCTAGAAGAGGCTTCGCCGCAACTCAACGTACATCGCTCGTACCTCGCTCTTTCCGTCACCTTCTTGGCATGGGGGCGGAAAGCGCGTTTATGTTGTGAGGGCGCGAGGTCGCTTGCTTAGCGTCTTGGAGCCCTGTTGGTGTCAAGGCTTTGGCACCACATACAAAGAACTAGAAAAAAGCCTGGCTGAAAACAAATGTTCATTGCGCTTCTGGGCCTTATGGGGGTTCCTTTGGAGCTCTTTTGGGCCGTCTGAGCCCATAGATCCACCGCCACCTGTGGCTTGCCCCAGGGGTGCAGGGCATGCCAAATTTGGGGTACTTAGATATTATCTCCGTTCTAGAATTCCCCAAAGGACTTCAGCCGAATGCGCCGACACGGAAGAAGAACCCCTAGACTTCATCGGTGCTCGGTCTTCCCGCTCCAGGCGGCCCCAAGATGGCCTCCAAGACGACCAAGACGGTCGCCAAGACGGCTACGATGGCCACAAGAGAGCCCCAGGCGTCCCCCAGAAGTACCCGAGATGGGCCGAGATGGCCCCAAGGTGGCTCAAGATGGCCTCAAGATCCCCTACGACGGCCCACGCGGCTTCCAAGACGGCCTAAGAGGCTCCAAGAGAACATCCAAGAAAGCCCGAGGAGGCCAGCATTATAGATTGCTAATAAGCTGTGTGTTGTGTTTTTGGCGTTTGCATCACGATGACCTCCAAGACGCCTCTCAAGCGCCCCAAGGGGGCCCCAAGTCCCAAGTCGGCCCAGCGAGGCCGCCAAGACGGCTTCCGACGGCGTCGGACTGGCCAGGAACGGCCTTAGACGGCCAACGAGTCTCCGAAGGCACCTCCACAGGCCCCCAAGAAACCCAGGGAAGTCACCGAAAGGCCTCCAAGATGCCCCTAGGAAGCTCCCAGGAGGCCCAAAGAATGCTCCAAGAGGTTCCCCAGAGCTCCTCTCATCGTTTGTCTTCCCTCTCCTTCTCCTCTTCTTTCTCCCCAGGGTGTTTTCAGAATGGCTCCCGCAACGGCTGGGGCAACATCTAGTCCGATAGCTTGGCCGAGCTCTCGCCGCAACGCTTGGCCATACAGGCGGTTCTTCCAGGAGGCAGGCGGCGGCGGCGGTGATTCGCCGCAGGCGTCTTCGACTTCACATCATCGTCCCCACCCTCCGCCTCCCCCTTGCCGCTGCCCCTCCCGCCGGTCGTCCCCCTCCTCCCCTCCCTCTCCCTCCACTGCGTTGCTCGCCCTCCGGACGATCATCGGTCCCTTCCCCTCTCCTGCGGGCGCGGAGAGGCACACACATCTCGCGAGCACCGTGTTGCGCTCCCTGGAGCGAGCGGAGCAGGAGGAGGTGCAGGACTGGAAGGAGGAAGAGGTGTAGGTGGAGCAGGATAA